AAATTATTCATTTTTAGATGCTGATATTCCCTTGTCAGCTTATCTCAACTTGTTCGATTCGCTCGTGTATGTAACAACGTATTTGATTTTAACGAAAGAAAAATCTGTATTACTTAAAACATTATTACACCAGGGTTTTCGATATCACAAACTAGTCAAAACATTTACTAGTACTAAATTTTTTCAGGTATTTCACATCCAATCTTTCATGGTAATATTCTTTACAAAGCACAAAATTGTCGGCATTCACCTCAAAAGCTAACCAAACCTTTAAAAAAACTAATACAGAAGATATGTAGTTACGATACTGTTGCCATGTCATTAAGGATTGTATATTTTGGTATTAATATTGACTCACTCATAAGGTCTTTGCATCGGAAATAAACACATTTAGTCTAAAACCAGTTGTTGGCATGATACGGGTTATGTTCTTCTCATATATTTTATGATGGTATGATAACGTGAGGGATTGTGCTTGATTTTCATATGATGAAGACATAATCTTTCAATCAGTTTTATTGAGGTCTGGAGCTGGCATGTCAGTAACTGCTAGTAGTCCTTTGTTAATTTATGTATCATTGTCATTTTGCTTAGTTTCTTTTGTTACCTTTTCTGACATCGGGCTCGGACTTCTTTTAAACTGAGTTTTACTGTGCGTATTGCTGTGTGTTTCTTTATTCTACATTGGCTAAAGGTATAGGGGGAGGGGGGGGGGGTTGTTGAGATCTTACAAAACATGTTTAACCCCGCCGCATTTTTGCGCCTGTCCCAAGTCAGGAGCCTGTGACCTTTGTCAGTCTTGCATAATTTTTTAATTTTAGTTCATTTATATGTTTTGGAGTTTAGTATGACGTCCATTTAACGAGTACACATTTTTATTTAGGGGCCAGCTGAGGCCCACCTCCGCGTTGAAGACCCATTGGTGGCTTTTGGCTGTTATCTGCTCTTCGGTCGGGTTGCTATAAAATTGAGAATGGAAATGGGGAATGTGTCAAAGAGACAACAACCCGACCATAGAACAGACAACAGCAGAAGGTCACCAACAGATCTTCAATGCAGCGAGAAATTCCCGCACCCGGAGGCGTCCTTCAGCTGGTCCCTAAACAAATATATATACTAGTTCAGTGACAATGAACGCCATACTAAACTCCAAATTGTACACATGAAACTAAAATTTAAAATAATACAAGACTAACAAAGGCTAGAGGCTCCTGACTTGGGACAGGCGCAAAAATGCGGCGGGGTTAAACATGTTTATGAGATCTCAACCCTCCCCCTATACCTCTAGCCAATGTAGAAAAGTAAACGCATAACAATACGCACATTAAAATTCAGTTCAAGAGAAGTCCGAGTCTGATGTCAGAAGATGTAACCAAAGAAAATAAACAAAATGACAATAATACATAAATAACAACAGACTACTAGCAGTTAACTGACATGCCAGCTCCAGACTTCAATTAAACTGATTGAAAGATTATGTCTTCATCATATGAATATCAGGCACAATCCTTCCCGTTAGGGGTTTAGTATCATACCATCATAACATATATGAGAAGAACATAACCCGTGTCATGCCAACAACTGGTTTTTAAATAAATGTGTTTAGTGCCGATGCAAAGACCCTATAAGTGAATCAATATTAACTCCAAAATATGCAATCTTTAATGACCTGACAACAGTATCGTAACTATATCCCTTCTTAATAAGTCTATTTAAAGGTTTTGTTAGCTTCAGAGGTGAATACTGGCATTTTTGTGCTTTATAAAGAATATTTCCATAAAAAATTGGATGTGAAATACCTGAACGTATAAGAAGTCTGCATGTTGAGCTATATTTACGAATGATGTCCTTATACCGATGATAAAATTTAGTAAATGTTTTGACTAGTTTGTGATATCGAAAACCCTGGTGTAATAATTTTTCAGTAATACATAAATTTCTCTCGTTAAAATCTAAAACATTGTTACATACACGAGCGAATCGTACAAGTTGAGATATATAAACACCGTAAGATGGTGACAAGGGAACATCACCATCTAAAAATGGATAATTAACGATAGGAAATGAAAAATCATCTCTTTTATCATATATTGTTGTCTATTTGACATATTCACCATTTCCATTCTGAATTCTATGGTCAGGTTACCTCGGGTCACCACTGCATTACCTAAATGGTCAGGTCATTTTAACAATTTTATTTTTCCTGAAAATCAGATTTGATTTGACCATCCATCCCCAGTCAACACACACACACATAAAATGAATGATCGGTGCCTTAGCTATGAAAATAATTAAATCACCTGGCAGTTGGTTAACATCTTTGGTATTTAGCCACATTAAAATTTGGTATTATGATCGATCCAAATAGGGAACTATATTTTCGCGCGAATTAATCGATGACAAATTCCCCCGGTTACCTGGGGTATCAATTACCGGAGGTCCTACATTAGCGGACCTTTTATCGACCTGCAGGCAGATGTGCAATGACGGAAATGATGACGGCACGTAAATTTCAGAGCCGAACGTCGTGAAGGATGGTCGATCCGAACTGGCTTTTTTCCGATTTTAACCCCCAAATACCCCCTACGCTGGTCATTACCCCTGTGTGTATAAAACAATATTCGTGGATTTTATGTGAAAGAAGAAAACTCGACGCCCAATTTCAACTTTATTCATTTAGTAATATAGATAGTTGTGAATATGTGAGCCAAAATTTGTTCCTGTGAAAAAAGTTCCAGTGGAACAAATATCACAGGAAATATATTCTGGGAGAACTTTTTTCACAGATAATTTCTATTTGATTTGTTCCATCTCTATAAAATAAGTTCCACAATATACCTGGTAAAATAAGTTCTGGGTTTGTGAAATTTGTTCCTTATACCTAGTGAAATAAGTTCTAGGTTTGTGAGATTTGTTCCTTACCTGGTGAAATAAGTTCCTTGTCTGTGAAATATGTTTCACTGGTTATACAAGTTATCTTTAATACTGAGCATTGTAATCAGTGAGTTTAAAGTTATAATTCAAGTACATTATAAAAACATGTGTTATATTGATAAAGTAATAAATAAAAGGTGCAAACATCCAATATGGATTCTGTGGAGTATAGCAAAATGTTTAATTACATTATCCATAAAAAAAATACCCAAATGACAATATTTAATGAGGCAGAAAAAGCGAAGAATAAGAAAAATCCATCAGAAAATTTTTATAGATCAATCATTTATTTCTGAATATTGCAATTCAACATATGTTACTTCATATCAAAATTTGTTGAAAAATGAAATAGTGTGATTTAAATATTTATCACAGTTGTTAATCATAGTTGTGCATTTGTTTTTTAATCATATTATCTACGTACAATATATATGCTGACTTAATTTGAATTTCTAAAAGATTTACCTTATTTTGAATGTTTTCGTGTTGTTTAAAACTTTAGAATGTTTTGCTTGATATAAAGTTAATGCATCAGGTTAATCTATAACACCCGGAACTTATTTAACATTTAGTAAAAAAATTAGTTCAGGAACAAATTTTACAGGAACATATTTCCTTATTATATATATTCCGGTAATAAATTTTCTGTGACATAAATTCCGGTGGAACATATTTCCTATGAAATAAGTTCCGGCGGAACAAATGTCACGCCGGAACAATTTTTTTGTTACAAAAAATATTTCAGAAATTACTTGAAGCTATGAGCAGAGTCAAGAACAAACTTCTAATGTTTGTTTTGAGGTTTATTAACTATTTATACTAGACATGCTAAATGAGAGAAAGAGAAATAAAAGAAAATTATAAATTTTAAAGACGAAAATACTGTTGGCATTTTAAAAGATTATTCTTAATTGTATGTTTTCTACAAGAATTGTAAAACAAGTATAAACATACATATACTATGATCATAAAACAAAAAGACATTTATATGTCAACGTACGAACGGTCTCCCACAAAAGATTATGTCAATCCAGTATGTCAAGCTTTTAAGGGTAAGTTTGATAAGGGCCTTATTTGTCCTCCAACATTAAATGGTATAGTAAATAAATATGAAGATACAGTATCAAGCTGTATGTTAATAAAGTTTTTGGTCAAATTTGTTGATTCTCTTATGTTGATGGCCTCATAATGAACTTAAAATAGCTTTGCAGAACTTATCACCTTCTTTATAACCGACGACGTCCATTATAATTTGAAAAAGAATGGCGGCAAAACTACTATGTTTTGAATTTCAGGCGCTTATAATAGGTCTTATATAACAAATTACCCGTCTCACGATCAGTATTTTTCATAAAAAAGTATAATCAAGAAGTCCAATAAAACCAAATAATCTGAAAAAAAAAAAATTTAATTGTAAGGATACTCATTATTCAAATATAGAAAAAGAGGCGTGGGGCATTCCACATTGCAGTCCAACTACAATGAATGAACACTGGACACTTTTAATTTGCAAAACACTCATTTGCAAATCCGCCGCCGCCTCTCCTTAGAGCTACAGTGTTGTGTATATAACCAAAATGTGCGGAATTACATGGGATTCAATAATTTAATTGCTTTTCTGCTGTTATTATTATAGATATTTTGTAATTTGATTTAGAAAAACATGGGATTTTCAATATCCCATGGGATAGGGCAAATCCCATGGGATTGACCATTATCCCATGGGATTTTGGTTAAATCCCATAGGATTTTTTGGGGTCCCATGGGATAATTGTAGTCCCATGGGATATTTGTTGTCCCATGGGACAAAAAAAATCCCATGGGACTATAATTATCCCATGGGATTTTTAATATCCCATGGGACACATGGGATAAAATAAAATCCTATGGGATTCAAATTATAAATATACAGTAAATAAATGTGTATGTTACAATGAATTCTGTTTGGTAGTAAATTGTTTTAAGATGAATCTTTTTAGTTGAATATCTTTTTTTCCTTGGAAATGTTAATGCAATTATATTGTTCTATAACTGTTCAAAACTAAACTTTTAAACAACAAAGCAGATAATGTAAGTATCAATATATGTTTATTTATGAATTCTAGAATACTTTTTTGAAACACAATTTTTCCCATTTGAAATCAATGAAAACTCTATTAATAGGCTTAACATACTAGTAGCTTTTTACATAAATCTATTTTTTTTCAGGATATCCCTCCACCCAAAAAATTAATAGTTTCTTATCATCCAGCATTGTGTGATCGTAATGTATAGTCCACTTTTTGGCCATTCAGCACAGAACATAGTCATTATTGTGGTTTTAATATCCTTAGATATTTAATAGAACTTCAATTCATTGACTGAGTGATGAAAATAATAACTGATCTGACTTTTGTCTTTGAATTTATTTTGGTCTTGTTTCTGTGTTTTCTCTTTTTATTCTAAGTGATGAATTTCAATCCTTCTGAAAAAGAACCAATAAAATCGGAAGTTATGGATAATAAAAAATTGTTTGCATACATGTAGCAATAACATATGATTTTCAATAAAAATAGCTATGCGGTATGGATTTTACTGATTGTTGAAGGTTGTCCAGTGTCATCAGTTGCTAACCTCCTACATCCTTTGGTCTCTGATGGAGAGTTGTCAAATTAGCAACATACCACATCTTCCTATTCTAATTTTATATAACAATCAATTTATGTATTCTTCTTTATAACATTTGGGTATTTTCCCCAGTTATATATATATATATAGATCAATGTTAAAAATTTAGGCAATTACAATAAAATTCCATTTTTCACAAGAATTTGCAATATATTATACAGAAAACCAACAATAGAAACAGCACTTCTTCAAGCTTCTGAAGTTCTGAAAGAGTTCCACTTGTGTTTTATTTCAATTAGAAAATACATTGAACTCTTTGGACATGTTGGAAATTATAACATTGATACCAACAATTATATTGTTTTTTTTTCTTATTTTTGTGTTGTTTGGTTGCTGTCTCATTTTTATATATGGTTATACATATATCCTAAATCTTCTTTTTTTTTAAACTTAATCATTAATAGTAAAAATGGGATATTTTTTATTTTGATAATCTCAAAACATTATTATTCTATCAAATAATTTATTTCCAAGTTCACAAAACACCAATGTGTCAGATATTAAATTTAAGACATGTATAAACATGATCAACAAGCAGTTGACAGGATGTCATGCAAAAATCTCACTAATATTAAACTTTCACAAAAACTCCATACTCAGCGAGTACTATTAACGTTCTTTATAGTACATGACAAATTCCTAATACAGGACACCATGCCTGGTAAACACTAGCATGTGTCAATGTCTAGTCAATCATGTAATCAGGCTCAAAATCTTAGTTTGGCACTGAATTTAAAAATTCAACACATAATGAACATGTGTATGAAATTCAACTTTATGGTAAGCTATATACCTTAACCTAAAAATTTAACCTAAGAATGTACTATAATTTCACATTATGACATTTCTATGTTCAGTGATTCATAAAATCAGGGTAAAAACAGTAAATGTGGTGTATAATGTATAAACAAGAGTGCACACGCTGAAATGTTGCGCCTTCCTTACTAATCATTGATATCATGTTGATAGTCCTAAATATAAAGCTTTACTACAACTATCACATAAACTCAACATGATCCAAGAAAATGAATTCAAGGTCATATGAACCTGACAAGAAATATATGTACACCTTACAATCATTCAATATACTAAATACAGTTGAACTATTGCTTATAGTTTCTAACATTGTCTAAGAAGCAGACTTAACCAAGAAAACTAAACATTGACCAATGAACCATGAAAATGAGGTGAAGGGCAGATGAACCATGCCAGGCAGACATGTACAGCTTACAATCCTTCCATACAACACATATAGCTGACCTATTGCTTATAGATTAAGAAAAACAGACCAAAACACAAAAACTTAACACTGAGCAATGAACCGTGAAAATGAGGTCAAGGTCAAATAAAACCTGCGAGACTGACATACATGTACATCATAAAATGTTTCCATACACCAAATATAGTTGAACTATTGCATTTAGTATTAGAAAAATTCGTAAGGGTTCCGCGGAACCCAGTGTCTCGCCTACTTTTTGCTGTTAATCACAGGCTCAGCAAAAATGAGGAAAAAAATTAATAAAAATATTCCTCTCTATACTATCTTTTGATTGTAAGTAGCTTCTGTCCAAGTTTGGTAAAAATCCAGGATAGTTTATGAATCTAATAAATGTTTTAAAAACTTAAACTGCAGACTGTATGTAATGTTAACTGGAAGAAAAACTAAGTCCATTTATAAGTAAAATACGGAAAAAATGGAACAAAATTTCCTTCTAGATACTAGCTTTTAATCATAAACAAGCTTCTGTCTAAGTTTGGTACAAATCCAGGATAGTTTAAGAAAGTTGTTAAAATTTTAAAAACTTTAACCACAGAGTGAATGTAATGTTAACTGGCAGAAAAACTAAGTCCATTTATAAGTAAAATACGGAAAAAATAGAATTTTTTTTTTACAAAATTTACTTTCCGATACTAGCTTTTAATCATAAACAAGCTTCTGTCCAAGTTTGGTACAAATCCAGGATAGTTTAAGAAAGTTGTTAAAATTTTAAAAACTTTAACCACAGAGTGAATGTAATGTTAACTGGCAGAAAAACTAAGTCCATTTATAAGTAAAATACGGAAAAAATGGAATTTTTTTTTTACAAAATTTACTTCTGGATACTATCTTATGATCATAAACAAGCTTCTTTCTAAGTTTGGTAGAAATCCAGGATAGTTTAAGAAAGTTATTAAAATTTCAAAAACTTTAACCACAGAGTGAATGTAATGTTTCCTGGCAGAAAAACTAAGTCCATTTATAAGTAAAATACGGAAAAAATGGAATTTTTTTTTTACAAAATTTACTTTTGAATATTATCTTATGATCATAAACAAGCTTCTGTCCAAGTTTGGTAGAAATCCAGGATAGTTTAAGAAAGTTATTAAAATTTCAAAAACTTTAACCACAGAGTGAATATTTGTGGACGCCGCCGCCGACGACGACGCCGACGGAATGTAGGATCGCTATGTCTCGCTTTTTCGACAAAAGTCGAAGGCTCGACAAAAAAAGACCAAAACTCAAAAATTTAACTTTGACTACTGAACCATGAAAATGAGGACAAGGTCAGATGACACCTGCCAGCTAGACATGTACACCTTAAAATCATTCCATACACCAAATATAGTAGACCTATTGCATACAGTATAAGAAAAACAGACCAAAACACAAAAACTTAACTATAACCACTGAACCATGAAAATGAGGTCAAGGTCAGATGACACCTGCCAGTTGGTTATGTACACCTAACAGTCCTTCCATACACCGAATATACTAGACCTATTGCTTATAGTATCTGAGATATGGACTTGACCACCAAAACTTAACCTTAAATATAAAAAAGAAGATGTGGTATGATTGCAAATGAGACAACAACTCTCCACAAGTGACCAAATGACACAGAAATTAACAACTATAGGTCACTGTACCGCTTTCAACAATGAGCAAAGCCCATACTGCAGTCAGCTATAAAAGGCCCCGAAATGACAATGTAAAACAATTCAAACGAGAAAACTAACGGCCTAATTTATGTACAAAAAATGAACGAAAAACAAATATGTAACACATAAACAAACGACAACCACTGAATTACAGGCTCCTGACTTGGGACAGGCACATACATACAGAATGTGGCGGGGTTAAACATGTTAGCGGGATCCCATCCCTTCCCCTAACCTGGGACAGTGGTGTAACAGTACAACATAAGAACGAACTATAAAAATCAGTTGAAAGAGGCTTAACTCATCAGATGGATAAAAATACAAATACTACAAATACAAGTGGACGTGGCCGGGTACTTGTACATCCAAACAACAAAAAGACACTAAGTATAGATCTGAGAGTACTCGCAGTTACTGACAGCTAGTACAAAGCCACTAACAACTAATAAAAAAAATCATGCATCTAAGACTAAGTTCTTGTTCACTGATCCATGAAATGAGGTCTAGGTCAAGTGAAAACTCTCTGACGAGCATGAGGACCTTGCAAGGTACGCACATACCAAATATAGTTATCATATTACTCATAATATGAGAGAAATTAACATTCAAAAAAATCTGAACTTTTTTTTCAAGTAGTCACTGAACCATGAAAATGAGGTCAAGGACAATGGACATGTTTCAGACAGAATTGGTATCATGACATGCATGAGGCATCTATATACAAAGTATGAAGCATCCAGGTCTTCCACCTTCTAAAATAAAAAGCTTTAGGAAATTAGCTAACGCCACCGCCGTAGCCGCCACTGGATCACTATCCCTATGTCGAGCTTTCTGCGACAAAAGTTGCAGGCCTGACAAAAATACATGAACATTTTAAAGTACTAAATTTTAAGTATATACATGTAAAACCACAAGTTACTAACTGAAGTTCAGTCTCATGGTGAACTGTAACCAAAAACTTTAAGTGAATACAATTTAGAGAAAGACAGATGGACGCACAAACACTATCAAAACAGAGCATAAAACTTACCGAACAAGATCTTTCAGAAGCAGGAAAATTGAAGTGTTTCTTTTCTTTCTCTGCCCTCCATGATATAAACTTCAAATTCATTCATGCAAAATATGAAAATCTGCAAAAGTAGGACCTTGTACCGCAGCTTATCCACATTTTGACTTTTGAACTGCATTGTTCTTTTCATCTTGCTGGCAACCTAAACATAAAAAAAAAATAATAAACACATAATTCTGGATTAACTTCGTGTATTTATTTTTGTTGGTACAAACAATTTTTTCCAACTTTAAACTAAATCTGCCTCTGCTTTAAAAAACAACTGGAAACCATTATTAACTGCATGTATTTATCTTAATTGAAAACAATTTCTTGAGTTTTTCTCATTTGTATCACCCTGTTATTATATATAAATTTTATTTTTGTCCCTTTTTAAAAATAGGAATGCATTGTTTAAATTCTTCAATAATCATGATAATTCTAGGTCAGTCAATTAAAAATGTATGAATAAATTATTTAACCTATATACTATTAATATCAATATATTTATTTTTTGATAAAAACTAGGCTCTGTGTTAAAGACCGTACCTTGACCTATAATGGTTTACTTTTATAAATTGTGAATTGGATGGATAGTTGTCTCATTGTCACTCATACCACATCTTCCTATATCTACAAACAGATTCTATGGGCGAGCAGACATTACACCCTGGAGGTGGTTTTATAAAAAGCATACGACTTAGATGTACCATAAGCATGGAAAAACAATTCAGCAGTCAGTTTCACAAAAAAACTTACAAATAATATTGATAGTAATTAAGTCATGTACAATACAGTATACTTTATACGATTACTTGTATTTTTTTTTTTGTAAAACCGACTCAAGTATACTTATAATCAATCTTAGTTGTAAGTATTAAGTATTATTCATCTTTTGGATAATTTTATGTTGGTTTATTTTATAAATATGCAGTGGCGGATCCAGAACTTTTCATAAGAGAGGGCCGGTTCCAGTCATGCTTCAGTGATCCCTATATAATCAACCAAATTTTTCCCAAGAAAGGGGACCCGGGCCCCCTCCCCCCCCCCCCCTATTTGAACTTTCAAATTCACAACATGCCGGTGCCTGTGACTGTGTTCAAAGTGGTGGGTTTTCACCCTCGTTGTATTGCGGAATAACGATTTAGGCAAATTGAGAAAAACATCATGTCTGTGGTTGATAATAGTGTGTATGCATTAATTTTCTATACCTTCTTATTTAATATTTTTCCAATTTTGAGTACTGACGGCAAGTGTTGTAACGTATAGTGTACCAATGTCTTGAGACCAATGTGCTATTTACAAGTGCGATCGAGGAATGCAGGGGAAAGAAACTTATCAATTATGTTTATTCTTAAGACAAAACTGAGCCGCCGTAAAAATGAACCGTGTCGAGAATGTTACTGACACGTAATAGGGCATGTCTCTGTAATAGGGTCATCCCTCGAGAACATTAACTAGTACATTGATAATTTACTATGCAGTCAGTATCCCGAAAAAAAAACAACGTATGGATGCAAAACGCTTAGTGGTTTCGGCTGACTGCTGATACGTGCACTTTGTCTCAAAATATCCCGGATAGTTGTTTCATTACCAATCATACCACATCTCCTTATTTTTATATATACGAAAGCTTTATTCATATTTTTTGGTGTATTGATGAATGTGTAAAGATACATTTTAAAATACAGCACAAGAGATGCAGATTATATAAAACTTATAGGTCGAAGACATACTGACAACGCCATGGCAAAAACTTAAAAACGACCAAATGACGTACAACAGTCTATAAAACTTAACTATAGCATACAAAACGCAAATATTTAAAACACATAAGAAGCACCCAGACAGTCAAATAGAAATTAAAAGAATAAATAATTTGTAAACTAGGCCTACAGCTATATTTTCTTATCATCTAACAGTAAACATAGGTTCTGGTATTATGTGATAAGTCATTTTTTCATGCAGACCCAGTTTCATTGATACGTTGAACTTAAAGTGGTTTTATGCATTTTACACATTCTAAACAGGTTAAATTCAATTTACAAATTCAGATCTACTGGCATTCAACACCCAATTACTTACTTGCTGTATATTGCTAACTTTGATTGTATATTGTCAATCCCTCAACATCGTGAATACGCCATGCGAGGTGTTGGCTATGTTTGATACAGGGTGGCGGCTTCGAAGCGTAGAACAAAATCCAGGTAAATGAAAGTATAAAATTTTGTTGTTGAAAATTTTAAGTACTTAATTCCTAAATTTGTACTTAACTCCGTTCTACGGGTAACATGGTTGTTTGATATGAAAATAGGATAAAAGCTTCCGAAAATTATCACATTATAAGTATTCGTAAATTATGGATATGAAAAAACCTAACAAGGAATAAGTATTGGTAAACGGACAGAAAGTCGCAGTACAAAAGTTTAAATTAATTATTTTACAATTGTTTAAATATATGAGAGAAAGTTCTTGACGAATTGACTTTATTTATAGATAAATGTATTTAGTTGAGGAAATGATTAATTCGCCTTCAAATAGTTTTTTTTTTTATCAAAAACTTATAAAAAGGAGACATTTTTGACAGCATGAAGCCAGTTAATTACCAAACCACTTTGGCAGATTGTTTTCTTAACAATCATTGTTCAATATTAATATTCAAAAATAAATTTTGTTTACAAGTCCGTTTCCTTTTAAAAATATTTCAGAAAAATGCTGAAACGTTTTTAAAATTAAGTTTATTCAAAGAAAAAAATATCCCAAAACTGAATCGTGACTTTTTACTTGTTACTTTATGTTGTACGTTCTAAGTGTCAATCCTAGCAAACACAAATTTGGAAATAAAATCGATTACAATGTAATTTTATAGAAGAAAAAAGGGGGGTTAATGAACAAATTATTACTATACACTCATATACTTCTAAAAAGATTTGAATTTGTAAGCTGTCTATAGATAATGTTAAATCATTTCAAGAGTTTCAATTAATTTAGGAGAAAAAAAAAGATTATAAACAGTTTAGTTTTCGTCGCCTACTACTATAAAAAATAGTGATTCTTTTTGTAGATTTGGTACTTCAGTTTCGGCTCAAAATTTCCTATTGAAATTGTTAGAAATATTTAGGAGAAGATTGTATTTGTAATTTATGTAATTGTGGTGATATTGGCGACGCGATTCATTATATTATAGCAAGGATTTGTACAAATCCTTGATTATAGAATGTTCGACAATAGACGAAAGTAGACAAACCCTATTTAAACGGGGTTTTGATATCCAAGGACGCCACATTTTACATCGAATAAGATCTATATTTTTTAACGTTTTCAAATGATATAACTTGAATTGAAAATTTCCCGACTATGTGAAGATTTCTTATATTTCGAAATGGCTTCAATTATTACATACAAAATGAAAAATGTATTAAACTTCTTTTTGTAAAAACAATATTCATGTATTTTTAGAAACATAAGTTATACAGATGTTCTCAATAAAAAACAATCATTAATATACTTTATAGTGATATTTATAATGACTGGCAGACTGCTATTTAAAAGTGCGGTCATATGCCTCAGTGTTATAGGTGACTGCAATTTAATAAAATTGAAATTAAGATTTTTATTAATATTTTGTATATAGGTATCCCTCAATGATGTATAGCACGGACAGACTGAGAAGAAATGGTATTCATCCTCAATTTCTTGTCTACTGCAGGATAGGCAAATAACATAAGTTTATTTGCTACTTTTTTTCTTCTTTATTTTATATAAATGATTTTTTTTTCTTCAAATTTTAACATTTTTTTCTTCGAAAAATTTGTAGTGTTGCAACAGGGAATGGACACAGATACTTAACTATATTTAACGAAAGAAATTTTGTGTAATGTCATCAATCTGTATTACACATCGACAGGATGTTCTCTAGAAAACTATGGTATTTCTAAAACGTTATACACACCCCAGGGTACACGCACTGTCGTAATGGAAAATTACTGCATGCTTTAATTACCTGTAATCAGCCATGCAACAAATCCGTTGACTGACCATGTCATTACAGTTTAATTTTTTTTTCCTTAGATCAAAACGGAATATTTATTTTAACTTTAAAATTTAAAACTTTAAAAAGTATACTTTGACATAATTATGAAGTAAAAGAATTTAACAATTTAATAATTGGATTTTTCCAAAGATTAAGATACAATTATTATATTTATTATTCTAGGACTGACAGATATATCACAGGCACTTGTCTCAGATTTTTCCCCCTATATACCTTAATTAAAGTATATAGATTTTTTTTTTCTGAGACAAGTGCCTGTGAGATATATACATGCATAAGTCCCAGACATATATACTTGTAAATCAAAATGATTTACATAATTACTGGGAAATAATATAATGTTTCACTTTTGTTGATGTCACAAATACACATGAATTATTTGATGATGCATGCTGGAATTTCTTATCTAAATGCATGACCGTGACTAGAGACATATATCCATTTACAGATTCTATAATTTCTTGAGAAAAAAGGGGGAAGTGAAACAAACATTTTAAGCTTTTATTAAACATTGTTGGGAAAACAATAAAATACGACACTGAGTTTTGAAAAAAAAAGTTTATGATTGGTCTTGATTTTTTTTTAACAAAGATAGAAACAATTTTTTGTCCCAAGAAAAAAAAACAATGCCCCCTTTTTAGCCACACCGACACACGCCGATGAATGGAGAATTCCAAGTAGGGTCACAAGGTCACATTTTAAAACTTTTTCAGTCGCCCAGTCTCAAAAAGCAATTTTGACTGGCTTTGTTTTTAGTCGAATTATATTTTTGCAGGTCAGGTTGCAAAGTGGCAGGTCGGATTTGACCATGTTGACAACGGTCCTAAAAATATCAGAAAAAACGTTGAATCAAACGATATGAACCTACACAGTTTCAATCATGTATAAGACTGACACACACCATGCAGTGTGCTAACTGTGCTGGGTGAGGTGCTGTAACTTGATATACATGTATCATTAAGTTACAGTACTGTTAGGATTTGCCTGCCTTTTTACAGGGACTTTCTATACTAACTGTTAGTATAGACTGACCCTGGCTTGAAAGTATGGTTCTCTGCTCAGCAACGGTCGCGTGATTGTAGCAGTAAAATACATCGGGGGGTGGGGAGGGGGAGGGGGCACTTCAATACTTAATTGATAGGGGTGTTGCTTGGGTTCTGTTATCCCACCCTTTTCATATAATTTAGATCTTAAAAATGTATACCTTTTCATATATTGCGTCGGTAAAATTGTAACCTTTTCCCATATTGGTTGGGTTTCGTGGGGTGTGTTGGAAAAGTGGAATATTTAAGGCTAAGATTCTTTGTGTAATGTTTATTTTTAGCCCCTTTTTGGCCCCTTATTCCTAAACGTTTTGGGAAATTATCCCCAAACTCAATTCCAGCTTTCCCTTTGTGATATGGAACCTTGTAGTACAATTTCAGAAAGATCCATACACTTACACACAAGTGTGTGTTACCGACCGTGCAAGGGCTGTATAGCCAGTCAAGGTCGTTAAAAACTTCCATTTGTTTGTTTGTAATGTTTACTTACGGCGAGACTTTCGGCTGTGAAAAAATGACAGGGCTTTGCATATACAAGTATACATATACAAGTAATTGGAACTTTATCGACCTTATCATATATTTCTGACAGTTTTCCCCACCTATTCCCATATTTTCAAGCTGGAAAAAGTGACCTATTCCAGCGGCACGTCCTATCACCTTGTATATAGGAAGTGCCCCCCCCCCCCCCCCCCCCCCCCCGAGTAATATACGCAAATGTATAAGTTAATACATTAATCATTCAGGAGCACAGTCTGTCTTTAACGTAAATAACTTCGAGATTAATATGTAAGTTTACTTTGCTTATCGATGTTCCTGTAATTCAGATTTATATTTATTTGTGAGACCCCCGTCACTATTTATATTCACTCAAGAGTCACTCAAAGAAAGGGGTTCTCCGTTACTGGGAAAATCTTATCTGATTTAGGATCAATTTATTGGTTACACTCCCCTATCACCAGTGATTCTTTGTCGTAAGCTGACATTTTGAAAAAGGTATACTGTTGACTATATCAATTTGCATGATTAGTTACAGATGTCGACTCGGACTACTGCAAAAGACAATAATTCAGTTCACTGATTTAGATTGAATAGTGGTTCGGTTAATTCTTTTCCCCAAACAAGTAAGAATTAGGTTGCATGTGTATATATGTCTCTGGTTACATCTTTAGGTAGTCAAAATAATTATGACGTCTTGCAAGACTATTTTAATTTTTTTCTATCTATCTATCTTCATATTTCCGCACTCAGTCACAACTTTGACTATTATGTGGCCAGAAAAAAGTTAAAATAGCCTTGCAAGACGTCATAAATTTTTGGACTAATCTTTTGGCAAATATGGTCGTACAACAGGGGTTTAATTGTTACAATCTGAGACTACTATAACACATTGAAATTGTACTACAAGGTTCCATATCACAAAGGGAAAGCTGGAATTGAGTTTGGGGGTAATTTCCCAAAATGTTTCGGAATAAGGGGCCAAAAAGGGGCTAGAAATAAGCATTTTTCTAGTTTCCAGACAATAACTTGTGTTCAAGTATATGGATCTCTCTGAAATTGTACTGCAAGGTACCATACCACAAAGGGAAGGCTGGGATTGATTTTGGGGGTAATTGCCTTAAAATATTAGGAATTAGGGGCCAAAAAGGGGCAAAAAACAAGCCTTTTTCTAGTTTCAGGACAATAACTTGTGTGTAAGTGTATGAATCTTTATGAAATTGTACTACAAGGTTCCATATCTCAAAGGGAAAGCTGGGTTTGAGTTTGGGGGTAATTGCCCTAAACGTTTAGGAATTTGGGGCCAAAAAGGGGCAAAAAAACAAGCATTTTTCTAGTTTCCAGACAATAACTTGTGTTCAAGTGTATGGATCTTTCTGAAATTGTACTGCAAGGTACCATACTACAAAGGGAAGGCTGGGATTGAGTTTGGGGGTGATGAATCATAAGGGGATTAAAAAAATGGGGGGGGGGGGATTTTTTTTTCCTATTTTTTTTCTTTAAAATTTTCCATTTTAAGTTGGTTATTTTTTATTTATGTATAAAAGCAAATAATAATGATATGATTTGATTTCATCAAAAATTGAAATATTGGGCTTCTTTGATATGCTGAATTTAACCGTGTATTTAGATTCTTAATTTTTGGTCCCGTTTTCAAATTGGTCTACATTAAGGTCCAGAGGGTTCAAAATTAAACTTAGTTTGATTTTAACAAAAATTGAATTCTTGGGGTTCTTTGATATGCTGAATCTA